TGTTGAAGTCGACCACCCCTTCCTATTTTTAATTCGAGATAGACGGGCCAAAAGCAAAATGTTATTTCTGGGACAAGTTAGTGACCCGTCAGAGTAAGCGTTACGGGCGGGAGTCAGGGCTACCACACCTTGGGAAATTTCCCAAGACCTTGGGAATTCACGACCCCCCTTGGGATCTGGGGAATAATTTTGAAAATCAGGCAAAACCTTGGGAAATCTTAACCGGGGTGGGGAATTTTATTATATTTTTCGAAAAACGCAACAATATCTGATAAAAAAATAAAGTGAAAATAAAGCAAAATAATTTTTAAAGTAACAAGGCAAAAAAATTAATTGTTTTAATTTTCTTTTCTGGTTTTAATTTTTAAATCCACTCATAAAATAAATAAAAACTCTTCTGATATTAAAGTTAATATTGTGAATTATTAAAAAGTTAATAATTTTTAAAAAACTCAATGTTCTCTTTTTTTTAAAAAAAAATGAAGATTTACAAATTACATCCAGGTTTTGAATGTTTATTAAATGAGGGGGGGGGAGGGGGGTAGGCTCGGAAACTTTATCATTATGCTCTTAGACATTAGCAACAATACAAAAACAGTACAAGCCAAAGAGTGAACGATAGTGTTCAATCAAGAATCCATGCCATAGTCATAGGAAAATTTTATTATTTCAATTACTTCTACAATGTGTTCAAAATATAATGAATCTGTAAAAAAAATCCAGCCTAATTTTCATCAATTAGAAAAAAAATATTTGTGGATTGAAACACACAGGTAACTAAAATATTAAAAGTATAGGCCTACGTTGTAGGATTATAAATGAACAATTCCTTTAAAAGTTTGTTGTTTGTTTTTTTTGAAAAATCGTTATAAAGTAAATTTACAAGAAAAAAAATACATATTGTTTTCATCATAATATTAATATCAATCCATTTTAACTACAATTATTATTAATAAATTTGCTTAATTGTTTTGCAAACCCCACTTCTAATCAACAGATTTAGAATAATAAAAATCATTTTTTGTTGAAGAACCTCTTGCCTTTGTAAAATGAATTCTGTGTTGATTAGCCTTGTAAGCTTTTTTCCAAGTGACTTCTATGACACATGTATTGTAGATGATATTTTTACCAGGGAATTCGGAGGTAATATTTAGTAGCCTAACTCCAGTGGGTATTGATATTTTGGATTATAAGTTATTTTTTTAAACAAATTGTTTTGTTTTTTTATGTGATAAACATTTTTTAAATGTCCTTTTCAATAAATTTCAGTCAATTAATGTACCATGTTTTTCAGGGGCATAGATTCAATCTATTATTACATTAACTACATAGAAAACCCCCCTTTTAAAAAAAAACTCTTATATATTTGTATGATCTTGGGAAATCTTGGGAAATTTGCTCACCAAATCTTGGGAAATTTTAAAAAAGTGAGTGGCAGCCCTGGCGGGAGTGGGAGTGGTCTGCACCTGGTGCCACCTTTATTAAGGATGGCTTTTTTGGTCCTCACAACAACAAAATCGTCTTGTTGTTTTTTTAATTCTTTTTATTTTTTTTTATTTTACAGACGTGGTAACGTGGGCTCCATTCTATTTCTATATACAGAAGGATGTCGCTGGGGAACTATTTCTTTAAAAGTCGTCAATTTTGTATAACTTAGGTTAGAAACGATTCTTTTATTGGTGAAAATAAATGGAAATTTGTTTTTGATTACATTGTAGTTGTAGGCTAATCCATATCCAGCACATTAATAAACATTCTGATGAACATAACAATTTTAAACTAGGTCAATCCAAATGTATCTATGCAATGTAATGTCACTAACGCTATCAGGTGGCGCTGGTTTCACTAAATACAATTCCCGATAACTGCGTTAAATGAGATTCTTTAAAAATACCGCGAGTGCGTTTGGTGTTTTATTTTATTTTGTTTTACGGATTTGGGATACGTTCACGAAGGAAAAAAGTATTTATTATTTTCTGAGAGAAAAGAGCATAATGGGTTGGTGAATAGCATTTCCGCTTTCATATCATTTGTGGTTGTCTTGGTTTGTTGGCGAAGTAAACATGGATCGGATGATGTCACCGTGAATTGAGAGGAAAGATATTATTCAGAGTAAAAGTATAAATTTTATTTTAAAAACTGTTATATTATTCGGTCTGTTATAATTAACCCTTCTTAACCTACTGAAATCGAGTTTTGAAACAACAAACTTGATTTTGAAACCAATCCAAATTAGTGGTAAAAATAGGCGGCAACACATGGGCAAGCTACTCAGTTTCACCGAAATTTGAACGTACTCCATTGTCTCAATTCAAATATTAAGGTGTTATAAATATACGGATAAAATGGGGTGGGACATTTTTGGGGTTAAACTTGCTAAAATATTTGTGGTGCCCCTTTCCCGTGATTCCCTAAAGCACTTTCTTATAATGCTTAGTGATTAATTCGGTCCTGGAGTTTGAGGGTCATCATAGGTTTTCGTTGGAGCATTTAAGAAGTCCCAGGGGATTTCCAAACATAATATGATGATGGATTCAAATATCGGTGTCCTCATCATCTTTTGTTAAGCCTTCATTGGCTTTAATGATTTGTGAACAGCAGACGTTGTCAATATTAAGAGCTTAATCAGCGCCTATGGTCTATATGCTTAGAACGCTCTTAGTTTTATATCACATTAGTGAAGAAACGATGAGTATTGGTGTCATTTGTAAAAGTAAGACTAAAAAGCTATGTATGCAGCTGAATTATTTAAGTCCAGTTTGAAATAAAAGCTTTTAAATAAATGATTACTGATTGTGTGGGGTGTTTCTTCCTATATACCTAGAGATTTATTTTTTATATACATGCGTATTGTACAACGCTTTTTGTCACAGAAAGCATCAGTAAAGCGTTCTGCTGCCTGTTATAAGCAGGGTTTATTAAAAGGGGGGGGGGGGGTTTCTTCCATAAATTAGATCAACGATATTTTGACAATTTTTTTTTTACCCCATTCCCGACCTTGGTGAAACTTTCAAGGAACCATCTCCCCCAACTAATAAATCAGACCTGGGCTATGCCATCTCACCCAAGTAATAAATCAGGCCTAATGACATCTCCCCAACTAAGAAATCAGGCCTAAGCTTTGCTATACTCCCCCCCCCCCC